GCCGGCGCCGGGCCCGCCCCCTCGCTCTTTCGCCAACTACTCCGCCTCTTCCTCTCCCACCAGCCACCGCGCCCCGTCCGCCCGACCACTTTATTTTGGCACGGCGCCAGCGCCGCGCCCGCCCTTCTCTCCCCCCTCCGCAGCTGGACCACCTACTCCTCCTCCCCCGGCAGTCACCGCGCCCCATGTGCCCGACCAATGTATTCTGGCACCGCGCACGCACCGCGCCCGCCCCCCCGCCCCATCTCCGCAGCCCGTCGCCCGTCCCCCCGCAACCAGCTTAGGTCCTCCTCGCCAGCCAACGCGGCCCCTGCGCCCCCCTTGTTTTTACCTAACAGCGAAGACTGATAGGTTTCTAATGGTATCAAAAGAAGCATCATGACTCCCCAGAGGGGGTCCGGGCAGGATCCGGGGAGAATCCGCGGAAGTCGTTTTAAGCAAACATATACACACTTCGTGGTCTTCGAATTCCCAGAACTCCATTCCTGGGCATGATTTTGAATGCCCGGAGCCAACTGTAGGCCACTTCGTGGTCTTCGAGTTCCCAGAATTCCATTCCTGGGCATGATTTTGAATGCCCGGAGCCAACTGTAGGCCACTTCGTGGTCTTCGAGTTCCCAGAACTCAATTCCTGGGCATGATTTTGAATGCCCGGAGCCAACTGTAGGCCACTTCGTGTCTTCGAGTTCCCAGAACTCCATTCCCGGGCCACATTTTGAATGCTGAGGCAGGCTGAGGCGAGGCTGATGCAGGCTGAGGCTGAGGCAGGCTGAGGCTGAGGCCGAGGCAGACTGAGGCTGAGGCTGAGGCAGGCTGAGGCTGAGGCTGAGACAGGCTGAGGCTGAGGCAGGCTGAGGCTGAGGGCTGAGGCTGATGCAGGCTGAGGCTGAGGCAGGCTGAGGCTGAGGCGAGGCTGAAGGCAGACTGAGGCTGAGGCTGAAGCAGGCTGAGGCTGAGGAGGCTGAGGCTGAGGCTGACTGAGGCTGAGGCTGAGGCTGAGGCAGGCTGAGGCTGAGGCAGGCTGAGGCTGAGGCCGAGGCTGAAGGCAGACTGAGGCTGAGGCTGAAGCAGGCTGAGGCTGAGGCTGAGGCAGGCTGATGAGGCTGAGGCAGGCTGAGGCTGAGGCTGAGGCTGATGCAGGCTGAGGCTGAGGCAGGCTGAGGCTGAGGCCGAGGCTGAAGGCAGACTGAGGCTGAGGCTGAAGCAGGCTGAGGCTGAGGCTGAGGGCAGGCTGAGGCTGAGGCAGGCTGAGGCTGAGGCTGAGGCTGAGCTGAGGCTGAGGCTGAGCAGGCTGAGGCTGAGGCCGAGGCTGAAGCAGACTGAGGCTGAGGCTGAGGCTGTGAGGAGAGGCGAGGCTGAGCTGATGCAGGCTGAGGCTGAGCAGGCTGAGGCTGAGGCAGGCTGAAGGCAGACTGAGGCTGAGGCAGGCTGAAGCTGAGGCTGAGGCTGAGGCTGAGGCTGAGGCTGAGGCTGAGGCTGAGGCAGGCTGAGGCTGAGGCAGGCTGAGGCTGAGGCTGAGGCTGATGCAGGCTGAGGCTGAGGCAGGCTGAGGCTGAGGCTGAGGCAGGCTGAGGCTGAGGCAGGCTGAGGCTGAGGCAGGCTGAGGCTGAGGCTGAGGCTGATGCAGGCTGAGGCTGAGCAGCCTGAGGCTGAGGCCGAGGCTGAAGGCAGACTGAGGCTGAGGCTGAAGCAGGCTGAGGCTGAGGCTGAGGCAGGCTGAGGCTGAGGCTGAGGCTGAGGCTGAGGCAGGCTGAGGCTGAGGCTGAGGCAGGCTGCTGAGGCTGAGGCTGAAGGGCTGATGGAGGCAGGCTGAGGCTGAGGCTGAGGCTGATGCAGGCTGAGGCTGAGGCAGGCTGAGGCTGAGGCTGAGGCTGAGAGGCTGAGGCTGAAGCAGGCTGAGGCTGAGGCTGAGGCCGAGGCTGAGGCTGAGGCTGAGGCAGGCCTGAGGCTGAGGCAGGCTGCTGAGGCAGGAGGCTGAGGCTGAGGCTGATCTGAGGCAGGCTGAGGCTGACTGAGGCAGACTGAGGCTGAAGGCTGAAGCAGGCTGAGGCTGAGGCTGAGGCAGGCTGAGGCTGAGGCTGAGGCAGGCTGATGCTGAGGCAGGCTGAGGCTGAGGCTGTGACTGCGACTGCCGTTGCCACTGCGACTGTCATCGCGAATGCGACTGCGACTGCGAGAACAGCAGGATTCTACAACTGGATTCTCATCTGAATCTTAAGGGGAATGCTTCCAGATATGCTCCTACACATCGCTGTTATGTTGCTTTGCCGGGATAATTCTAATTCAGCACGGCTCCAGCACCGCGCCCCCTAACCCCGCATGGCAAAGCCAGTTCTTGGTCGCCCACCAGCCAACGCGCCCATTCTGCCCGACCACTCATTCTACTTCAGCACGGAACCTGCACAGCGCCCTTCGCCCCCTCTCCCCCCTCCGCAGCCAGCCTACCTCGTCTCCTCCACCAGCCAGCGCGCCTCCTCCGCCCCGGCCCTTTTCTTTCTGCACGGCACCAGCACCGCGCCCCCCCGCGCCCCACGGCCAGTCCAGCTCGTCCTTGCCCACTAGCCAGCGCCCTCTTTCCGTCCCGACCCTGAAATTTGTTCACGCCCTCCCCCCCCGCAGCCAGCCAGGCTCCTCCTCGCACACCAGCCAACGCGCCCCTTTTGCCCCTACCGTTTTATTTCGGCACGGCACTGGCGCCGCGCCCTTGCCTCCCTCCCCCACAGCCAGCCCAGCTTGCTCCCGCCCGCCAGCCAGGGCGCCCCCTCCGCCCCCTGTAGTTCGGCACGGCACCGGCGCCGCGCCCCCCCCCCCCCCCCCCACAGCCAACCCATTTCCTCGTCGCCCACCAGCCAACGCGCCCCCCTCCACCCCGACCGTTTTATTTCGGCAATTGGCCCTGCGGATCAGCCCCCTGGGTTCTGCCGTGGCCCCCAGCTGTCTCGGCCGTCGATTCCGAACCATCGTCCTGCTCGCCCTGCACACCTCTGTTTGCCTTTCCGAGTCTGTGACTGATTTTGCTCCCTCCCCTTTTTCCCTCCTCGTCTACCTCCTCCGTTCCCCCAGTACAGCGTTTCGTGGCCCCATAGGGAACCCCACCGAAAATCCCAATGCTACCGTCCGCATGCGTCCCGCACACCCAGTACAGCGTTTCGTGGCCCCATAGGGAGCTCCACCGAAGGTCCCAGAGCTACCGTCCGCATGCGTCCCGCACACCCAATACAGCGTTTCGTGGCCCTCTTCCCCCTCCTCCCTGCGTATCACCCACTCAGTACAACGTTTCGTGGCACCGAAGGTCCCAGTGCTACCGTCAGCATGCATCCCGCACACCCAGTACAGCGTTTCGTGGCCCCATAGGGAGCCCCACCGCTGGTCCCAGTGCTACCGTCCGCATGCGTCCCGCACACCCAATACAACGTTTCGTGGCACCACAGGGACCTCCACCGAAGGTCCCAGAAATACCGTCCGCATGCGTCCCGCACACCCAGTACAGCGTTTCGTGGCCCTCCTCCCCCTCCTCCCTGCGTTTCACCCACCCAGTACGGCGCTTCGTGGCCCCATAGGGAACCCCACCTTGAAGTGTGGGGCCCCCCTCAATCTATAGCCCCCCCCCGAAAATGTTTCAAACGACCAGCGCGCAATCTACACTTATGCGTTTCTGCTTATTTCGGTCCTGACAACTGCATTTGTTCATGTTTCTCTTGATTTCAGATATTGTAACAATACGTAGGACAGCTACATGACGTGGAGCATCAGCCAATAACCGAATCCACACACGTAAACTAAATGTACGACTGATACGGCGGAAGCCAATGAATAAAACATGAAGCACGGAGAACAAGTCATAACCCCCCTCCCGACGGCACAGCGCACAGAACGCTTCACACTGGAGAAACATCGGGTGTCTCTGAACATATGGCACTCGTAAGCCGACCTACTAGGAGGCGTCTGGCTCAATCTGGCAGGTTGCGGGCACGGCCGAGGGAGCACGACCACCTTGACGATCAGCGCTGGAAGAGCGGCAGCTGGAGGGACGGCAAAGAGGAGGCAAGACGGTGGAGGAGGAGGTGGCTCGGCGACCAGCGAGGGGGAACCATGAAAAGGAAATTGGGGGGGAGGGTCGAAGGGCGAAATTGCGGAGGAGGAATGGGGAATCAGAACCGTCAGGGAGGCCCGGATATTTTTTCACTAGCGCATCCAACATCAAGATTTCTGAAACGTGCTTCCGACAGGCATGCCACGGCGAGGCCAGCCGCCAGAAGAACTAGAGACTCTGACGCCCAGCCACATCACACGAAAACGCAAAAATGATACATAGCAGCGACCCCTACAGAGAACTTGCACCCACTCGAACGCACAAAGGGCAGCCCCAGCCGCTGCCTCTCGTCACGACCCGTGCGTTCCACGCACTGTCCGCATGAAACTCTGCATTTCGAAGCTGGTACCTTACCCAAGCCTTTGATTATTTCTGATGGCATCTTCGATCTAGATGGGCGGGTCTGCGCACTGGCTGTGCGCAAGCGAACTGTCGGAGTCTGACGCCAGACTCCTTGCTATCTGACTGGCACGGGATGCTGAGATTGAGGGCGTAGGAACAAGGGCGACAACGCCGATAGGGGCGATGGGCATGACTGCGAAGCCATCGACGCAGCAGCGAGCATCATAGACGACACCACATATGACAATGATGACACACACATGGAGGAGCAGAAAGGTGGGGAGAGCTGAAGAGGCGAGACGGAGAACTCAGCGCTGGCTCCGCATCAGCATATCAAACTAGAGGCCCCCATGAACCACCCGACTCCTCGTCATCTCATGTGTTCCTGCATGATCCTCGTTGCCCTCACCCTACGTCCACGGGCAGCCCTGCTGAAAACCGCCGCGCAGCAGCGACGCATGGGAAAGAAGGCTAGGTAGACGGAGGTGGGAAATGAGGGTCTGATGAGTGTAAGTGCGAAGAGGGGGAGAGAGAGGAGCACGGCACTGAAGAGCACCGAGTCTACCTGCCAGCGGCCACGAGCTTCTCGAGCTCCCTGAGGAGCGCACGAGGGATGTCCGAAGCCTTGTTCTTTAACAAGTAGTCGGCCTCGTCTGACTTGGCCTGGCCGCGAAGCGTGAAAACAACTGTGAGGCTTGCGATCACCGTCACGGCCCTCCTGGCCGACACGTACGTGGTGTTCACCATGTCAATCTTCTCTTTGATCTCGCTGCCGTCAGAGCTGTCCTCGACAGCCCACGCGTTGAACACGCTGCCGAGGGAAGACAGGCAGTGGTACATCCTCACGGTCTTCTCGTTCAAGACGTCTTTGTTAGCATGGTTGTGAACGTGAGACTTGGCCATGGACCGATTGAACGTGTCATCTGAAATCAGATTGCCGTAAATTGGCGTCACCTTCTGAAGCTCCAGGCTCTCGTCCACGCAGACTTGGAGCATCTTGCCGAATATAGCCTCGGATTGAAAGCCGATGGTCTTCTCGGCGGCAAGTAAGAAGTCGATCATCTGAGCGCACGTGGGGGACAGGTCAGCCAATGAACTAGCATGGGAATCCTGTAACTTCTCCAATGCCTCCGTCCCGATAGCGATGTGATCCCTGCAGAGGTCCACGGCCTTGGTGATCTCGGGCTTCAGCTCGGTATTCTTCATAACGCTCTCCGTGGCGCCGCTGGTGGAGCAGTCACCCAAGAACCGCGCGCTGGGAAAAGCAATCAACGATGCAACCTTGTGCATGTCACACCAGAGCTTGATCAAGATCTGGAACGCGTCGTCGGGAACGGCGCAGCAAACCTTCGGCACGGAAATGCGACAAGCGAATGATAAGCTGGAGATGGAGTGGGGGGTGGTTGTAAAGGGACTGGCAATGAGAAAGAGCCTGGCGTAGATGAAAACCAAGAAGGCTGAAGGTAACGAAGGAATAATACATCATAGTTTTCTGGAGTTACGCTTTCAAACCAACTGACCTTCAAGCCAGCAGACCCGACGATGGGCAAGTCCAGGTGAACAGATCCACGATTGAGCACCGTCACGAGCGAGCCCACGGCGGAGCAGACCTGGTCACATGCCCAAGCCTGGCTTGCGGAACCAAGGGCCTTGCACACATTGTCATTGGCCGTCTTCGCAAACTCCGACGTGCAGAAACAATCGACGGCTGGCACCCACTGAGCTGGCATTTCCGACATGGCCTTCGGAATCAGGAGCCCGTCGAACCCAACTGCGCCTGAAAACTTAGTCAACGATTCCTCGAATGCGCCGTCGAGAACTCCCCGCAGAGCCCTAATGAGCGGGAGCTGCGTAACGACGTCGGCGAGGCCGTAGGCTTGGACGACCGATGCTGAAGTTGAGGTCGCACCGCTGCCGATGGAGGAGACCACGATCGGGTCGCGCTCGCCTGAGAGACATTCAGGCGACTGGAACTTGAGCGCATCGACCTTGTCAGCCAGTGTCACAACGTTGATGTATACTTGAAGAGAGGACGAAGTATCCGAACCAGCCGACTGAGACTTTACCCAGCTCTGCAGGGCTTGGGAGCTAGTGCCCACGGATGTTAACGAACCCAATGCCTCGATGATCTTCACAATGGAATCGCGGACGCAGACATTCGTGTCAAAGACCTTCAAGTTGTCCAACAACACCGTGGGGCTCGGCTCCATGGGGTCCTTCAATACTTGAGGCAACTGGTCGATCAGCCGACAGATACGCGAAAGAGAAGACGTCAACGAATTTTCACTCGACACGACGGCGTGCTGGATAGATTGGGCCAAACCAGAGTAACCTGCAACGTTGATGGCGGTCCCGTCGGCGCTAAAATCTGCCTTGAGCAGCTCGCCGATCCCAGTCGCAAAGCAACCGCCCGCCAGGCAGCATACCATCATGCAGTCGATGCGCGCGAGCACGTCGAATGTCAGATTGAAGAAGTTACCCACTGTAGCAATCTGCTCCTCAGTGCGCCTCCTGTCCCACAGCTTCACAGCCTCGCACAAGTGGTCTACGGACTCATCGATATTAGCGAACACCATCATCGATGCGATATCGTCGAAGCCCTGGGCATGCCACTCAGTGCCCTCGGCCTCGCTCTCCGCAAGTTTCTGCACGAAGGTCGGCATCATGGACGTGTCCTCGATAATTTCAACAGCGCGGAGCATCTTCTTGTCGCCCAGCGAGTCTTTGGCGGTCAGGGCAAGCAAGTTCTGAGCGGAAGCGTAGAGTGCGACAGCGGTGGCGCCGAAATGCATCACCTGCTTGATCCCAGCCATCGCTTTGTTAGTCTCGACGAAGCTGACCGACTCGCCAACCCTCTTGGACGACACTTGGGAAGGATTGACGGTGACCAGGACGATGGTGTTGATGTGCCGCACGCAATCAATGGTATCGCCGACCAGGGTAATGTACTCAGGGTGAAGGAAATCAATGACCCTGGACAAATCCGTGGAGAGAAGGTTCGCCTTGCTATCAAAGTCTGTTGTTGTTGCCTTGTCAAGATCAGCGATCTGCGTTGCAATCTGAGCGAGGAGCATTGTTTTGAACCACTCCGCGACCGACACGTTATGGGAAGGGTTGATGCGTTCGAACGTTCTCTTGAGGCCCTCCACACCAAGGTAGGTCGTCAAGGCGCAGCCAACCGAACTCCTGCTCACCATGACCTCGGTGAGGAACCTGCACTTGTGCCACGGGAGCATCAAGGTAGGAGCAGGCTCAATCGGCGGAGACACTCGACCTCAGACGCATTCAAATTGCAGAACACACACGTTATAGAGGGAATTGGTTCCGAACGAATTACGGCACGACAAGCACCTGACACAGGGCCAACTCAACGCAAGAGGGCGCACCCCAACATTGAAGTTGAATGAAGGAGGACAACTTCGGATACTCTCATGTCGGATCTAGCGGGTGTGAGTGAGCGTGATAAGCAAACTTGCGTACCAATGCGGTCAGGGCATGAGCACGCGAAGCGCGAATCTAATATTGGCATTGGCGGCGAAGCTTGCCTATGTGAGTCTTATCTTGGTGGCTACAGAAGATGTCTTGGATGAACACCAACAGTTGTTGACGCTAGCATGTGGCAACTGGTGCCCCTAGTACTCCAACGCTGTGGTATGTACATATTGATGCCCAAAATGCGGTCACCATGACTTCATACGATAAAGCACACGCTTGGCTTACACAGCACCAGAGTATATGAGAAGATTAGGTGCGCCGACGTGGGGGGGACCACCATGCGACACACCGGCAACTGGAGCAATTTAGGGTGGGGGTGGTGCGAATGTGGTGAATGGTTTCGGTGTGATGGGGTGGGAGAGGGTGGTGCGGGTGGTGTTGGTTGCTCCATCTTGGGTGGTTGGTGGTGGGTGGGTGGGTCGCGGGTGAGTGGGTGGTGGTTGGGCGGTGGGTTGCTTTTTGAAGGGAAGGGGGCGCCCCGCTGGGTCAGCAGATGAAAGAAGGCTGGTGGCGGGCGAGCTGGTGCTGGCTGCGTGGCGGGGGCTGGTTCATCGTTCTTGGGTGGGCAGGTGGGTGGGTGGCAGGTGGGTGATGGATGGGTGGGCTTTGGGCAATGAATACATGTGGTGGCGGTGGTGCACCGCCTTGGGCGGGCGGACGGTGGGTGGACGGACGTATGGGCGCATGGCAAGTGGGCGGGGTGGGTGGTACGCAGGTAGTGGGCGAGCGTGGGGCAAGTGGTCGCATCTCTTTGCGGGCGACAACTGCACGCGAAACCATAAGGAGCCCATCCAACCCCCAACTGAAGGCCGACCGACCATCGTCCGACCGAAAACTGAAGCGATTAAGCGACTTACCTAAGCGAAGACTTTGGAACTATGTGGCCGAACGACGCAATCCATGCTGACAAACCAACTGGCGGACCCCCCCCAACCATCACCACCACCACACACACCACCACCACTACCCACCCAATCCCACCTCCACCACCGCGCACGCACTGCGCCACCCCACCCGACCCGACCACACACACACCACCAACCACACCACCAGCCACACCGACCACGCCACCAGCCACGCCACCAGCTCACCAGCCACACCACAAACCGCACCATCAACAACCCACTAACAAATTTCACGACCAGACCATTAGCCGCGCCCCCAGCCACACCACAAACAACACCAGCCACACCACAAACCACACCAGCCGCCACCAGCCACACCACCAACCACACCAGCCACACCACCAGCCACACCACCAGACACACCACCAGCCACACCGACAACACCACCAGCCACACCACCAGCCACACCAGCCACACCACAAACCACACCATCAAAAGCCCACCAACAAACTTCGCGACCAGACCACCAGCCGCGCCGCCAGCCACACCACCAACCACGCCAGCCGCACCACCAACTACGCCAGCCACACCACCAAGCACACCACCAACCACGCCACCAGCCACGCCAACCACACCACCAACCACACCACCAGCTCACCAGCCACACCACAAACCGCACCACCAACAACCCACCAACAAACTTCACTACCAGACCATCAGCCGCGCCGCCAGCCACGCCACCAACCACACCAGCCGCACCACCAACCACACCAGCCATGCCACCAACCACACCACCAACCACACCACCAGCCACACCACAAACCACACCACCAGTTACACCACCAGCCCACCAGCCACACCACAAACCATACCACCAACAACCCACCAGCAAGCTCCACTATCCGACCGTCAGCCGCGCCGCCAGCCACACCACAAACCACACCAGCCACACCACCAACCATGCTAGCCACACCACCAACCACACCACCAACCACAGTACCAGCCTCACCAACCACACCGCCAGCCACACCGCCAGCCACACCACCAGCCCACCAGCCAAACCACAAACCGCACCACAAACAAACTTCACAACCAGACCATCAGCCGCGCCGCCAGCCACACCTCCAGCCACACCAGCCACGCCACCAACCACACCAGCCACACCAAACACCACACCACAAGGAACACCACAAGCAACACCGACCCCACCACCACCCACACCACCAGCTCACCAGCCACCCCACCGACCACACCACCAACAATCCACCAACAAACTTCACGGCCAGGCCATCAGCCGCGCCGCCAGCCACACCACCAAACACACCAGCCACACCACCAACCGCACCAGCCCACACCAGCCACACCACCAACCACACCAGCCACACCACCAACCACACCACCAACCACGCCACCAGCCACACCAACCACACCACCAACCACGCCACCAGCTCACCAGACACACCTCAAACCGCACCACCAACAACCCACAAACAAACTTCACGACCAGACCATCGGCGGCGCCGCCAGCCACGCCACCAACCACACCAGCCACACCACCAACCACACCAGCCACACCACCAACCACACCACCAACCACGCCACCAGCCACACCACGAGCCACACCACCAGCTCACCAGCCACACCGCACACCGCACCACCAACAACCCAGCAGCAAGTTTCACAACCAGACCATCAGCCGCGCCGCCAGCCACGCCACCAATCACACCAGCCGCACCACCAACCACACCAGCCGCACCACCAGCCACACCACCAACCACACCACCAGCCACACCACCAGCTCACCAGCCACACCACAAACCACACCGCCAACAACCCACCAGCAAACTTCACGACCAGACCATCAGCCGCGCCGCCAGCCACACCACCAACCACACCAGCCACACCACCAACCACACCAGCCACACCACCAACCACACCACCAATCACACCACCAACCACACCACCAGCCACACCACCACACCACCAGCCACACCACCAGCTCACCAGCCACACCACCAACCGAGTCACCAGCAGCCCACAAACAAACTTCACGACCAGACCATCAGCCGCGCCGCCAGCCACACAGCCAACCACACCAGCCACACCACCAACCACACCCGCCACACCAACAACCACACCACCAACTACACCACCAACGTTACCTTCGAGACCCATTGGATCGCCGCGAAGGGTTTTGTCTTTGCTCCTCAGGCAGAGTGGCAAGTTGCCCATAGTGGAGAATGTAGAAGCCGCGGCGCGCGCGAGTTGCGCGGACGGCCCCAAGCAACCCGCGAGCCGCACGCCGCGCGTGTCACCAGAAATCAGGTCGGTCACTGCTAAGGAGTTAGGTGCAAGTCCATGGCCAGAAACTGGTTTTGCCATTGTGGAATTGTGTACAATACCAAACCCAGGACGCGCGCACCTGAGCGCGCTGTTCGCTGATTCAACTGGTTGACATCGTCAACTCAAAACGACTTGGACACATAATTGCTACCGTGAAAGGTTCACTTGGTTTCCAGTGCCAACATAGCGACTTCGCCAATTCCGAGGAGACAAAACACATGACGCGCGCGCGCTCTCTGGAAGCCCTGCCGATGGAATTGCGGATGTGCCATACATGTGCAAGTCGTAACCCAATTGGCCAACGCCAACTCCACGGGGGCATCTTTTTTGTCCAAAGCCAACATGGCGGCGCTCCCGCTGCTGATCACGCGTATCGCCTGACGCGCGCGGGTAGCGCCGATCGGTCGGCGAGCGATGTTAACTCGAAAAACCATTGGTGAACACCCAAATGTAAAGTTCCATTCTCAGATCGAAGAGGCGGCAACACCCACGTGCAATATGCGGATAGCCGAGCACGCAACGCAGCGCGCTGCGCATATCGAAGGCCTTTCGTTTGCGCTTGAAGCGATGCAATCTCCAAAGCCCAATGCTGAACACCAAATGACAATTTTGATTTTCTGATCAGGAGAGGCTGCTGTCTTACTGAGCAGAGAGCCGAGCATGCACCTCAGCGCGCGCGTGCTGAATGCAGTCTCATACAAAAGTCACGCCATGTTATCTCTAAAACCAGATGGTGAAAGCCCAATGTAAATCTGCATTCTCAGATCCAAGAGGGCGCCCATTGCAATAAACAGAATATGGCATTGAAAAACAACGCGTCGCGCGCGGCAAACGCGCATGCGGCCGCGTGGAATGGCAGCTGGAATAGCTCCAGCTCAAGATCCAGCTGTCACAGTCACACCGCGCGCGTAGCGCGCGTGCCGCATGCAGTTTCATACAGAAAAGAGGCGGTGTTAACCCGAAAAGCCGAATGGTGAAAACCAACTGTAACATTTCATTCCTGGACCAGAAGAGGCGACTTTACCAATGTAAAATGCACACGCCCGCACGCACAAAGCAGATCGCGCGAACACGCTGCGTCAGCGTCGCATACAACGAGCGATGCTAACTCGCAAACCCAATGGTGCGACACCCAATGTAAACACTTTTCTTGGACCAAAAGACGCAATCATCTAGCCCCCCCCCCCCCCCAAACAAAAAAAACAGCGCTGACCACGCGACGCACCGCGCGCGCGCAGTGCATTCAACTTCAAACAAACAGCGGTGTTACTTTGAAAACCGAAAGGCGGAAACCCAATGTAATTCATTCACTCTCGGATCAGAAGGGGCGCCTTTATCTATGCTAAATATGCAGAGGCGACAATTCAACGCAACGCGCGCACGTGCTGAATGCAGCCTCATACAAAACAAGCGTTGTTGGTTCGAAAACCCAATGGTGAAAACCCAATGTAAATTTTCATTCTCTGGTCAGAAGAGGCGGCTTTATCAATGCAAAATATACAGAACCAAACGCACAACGCAGATCGCGGCGCATGCTAAACTATATCCATATG